TAAGGAAGGCCAGGCCCTTTTGTCATATCATATGTTTTATGTGGAATGGTTGATGAAGCAAACGTATGTTTTACTATAACAATCAACTACTATACTTTATTTTTCGTATTAAGTATTGTTTCGAGACTACCCTGGATGAGAACAACTTTTGGGAAAGCGAGAATATGTGAAATTCAATGGAAATGTCAGGTCAACTCATATCATTGTGGGAAAACTCTTCTACCAGTCCTTCATCACCTTAACCGAAATTGGGTGAATACATCTCATATTACTGATTTACTGGTAACCTCGAAATAATACTTAATGCAAAAAATAAAGTTTAGTAGCCGATCGTTATAGCAAATATACGTTTGCTTCATCGAGAATCCAACCCAAAAAAGAATATGATATGGGAAAGACCTGGCTTTCCTTAAAATTCACATTTGCCCTGTGGCCCAAAGGTATTCGTGACAATGCGGTCGAGTGGTTAAAGTGTCAAGCTCCCATTCTGCATTTTCACAGTTCGACTCCCGCTAGGGGTGTTGATAAGTCCGATGCGAGGTTGAAACTGCAGTCCACTGGTGCTTGGTTGAGAACAACTTTTTGGTAAGCAAGATTATGTGAAATTCAATGGAAACGTCAGCTCAACTTATATCATTGTGGGAAAGTTCTTCTACCAGTCCTTCATCACCTTAAATGAAATTTGGTAAATACATCTCATAGTAAACTCAATGCCTTTTGAAGCCATCAGAATCCACATCTTTTTGTCGGGAATTACATCTACCCAAACAACCTTGCATTTGGAGTGAAGTCCGTTGTTTCACTGATTTAGTGTTTTTAACACTTTTTTCTCAACCCCTGTGTACCATTTCCGCATGATTTTTTGTTGGACCTGTTGCGAATCTAATAAAATCTCAACACACTTCCACAATTTTAATCCCACCGGTGTCAAATTCCATACTCCAGCCTGGAAAAGAGTGGCTATTTGAAATCACCTGATATTAGAAACATCCTAAGAGGCTCGTTCTTCTAACAATGATACAATCTGAGTAATTTGTAATTTTGTATATGAAAATATCAGGATCTTTGAACAGCTCTACGAAAAGGTGTCCCCTTCCTGCTGGCAAGTATTAATGGCTGGGCAACTCATTCCTGAAGGGTCGTGTGGTTGGGAGTAAGTACATCATAACTTCTAACTTTGGACGTTTTCCTAAGCCTTTATGACAGTCCATAATAAACACTCGTCCAGATGTAGGAAGGCGCTTATTGGTTATGATCTTAGTTTTGAATATCTCCGACCAGAGCTGAAGTTTACAAGACAGAAGCAGATATCATCGGTCAACTTTCACTTTTATCCATACCTCCTTTCTTCTGAGATGCTTCTCAAATTTCCAGCATTTAAATTTTTTAGCAAAATCACGATAACTTGAGGCCTATACTGTTTTCCTAAGCCTTTTTCTCAGTTCAGAATGAACATTACTTTATATGCAGAAAGACACTGGTTGAATTATTAAGTTGTCATCTAACTTCTGAAATCCCTTAACCGGAATCTGAAGTTTACAAGTTTTGAAGACTACTTTTGTATGAAAGCGCATGATGTTTCACTTCGTGTACTGCAGGCTTTCGACGTTCAGATTGAGATATCCTCCCTCGTTTCGTGTGGAAACAAGGTGAACTTTCCTTCTTCATATGAGGGATATCATCATAGCTACGACTCACTAAATCAAGGATATTTGAAGTTTATTCACCCTGTTTCATTTAGGGTGATAATGAGAACTTTGCCACAATGATATCAGTAGACACAACGTTTCCATTAAATTTTACATAGTCTTGTTTTCTCAGAAGTTATTCATATCCATGGTAGAATGCAATCCCGACCTCGCTTAGGTCTTATCAACACCATCAGCTGGACTCTAACCATGACAGTGCAGCGTGAAATCTCGACCCTTTAACCACGAAGCAACATTGGGTCACAGAGCAAATGTACATTTCGAGGAGGCCAAACATTTTCCCATATCACATTCTATGGTGGGATTGTCGATGGGGCGAAGTTTTATTCGCTATTTTAATCGACTATATTACATATTTTACGTTTTATAAATAAGCTTTCAAGACTGCCAGCAAATAATTTATATATAAAGTCTATTCAACCTATTTCTTTTAACGTGACGTGGGGACTGGCAGTTGACTTTTCCCAAAATCATATGAGTAGACCCTATGTTTCTATTTAATTTCACATATCCTTGTTTTCCCAAAAGTTGTTCCCATCCCAGTTGACATGGACTGCAGCTTCGGCCTCGCCTAGGCCTTATCAACACCCCCAGCGGTACTCGAAAGCACAGTTATGTGAAATTCAATGAAAATGTAAAGTCTACTGATATCATTTTGGGAAAAGTTTACTTCCAGTCAGTCCCCTTATCACCTTAAACGAACTAGGCTGTATTTACTTTATATGGCAATTATTTGCTGGTAATTTTGAAGACTTACTTATAAAACGAAAAACTAAGTCAAGTCTTTCCTACATGGTTTATATACTCATGACTAGAAAAAGATTTTTTTGTAAATAGATACAGGAAGATTCGATTAATTCTATTGCATATTATGCACTTTCATACAAAATGAAAGCCTCCATATCAATGTTATCTCAGGAAATTCAGCAAACCAGCGTATTCTTCGTGTATGAATTTCACAAGATCGAAGAAAATGTTGCCTGCCAAATTTCGCTTTTCTCTATGCCTCATTCTCTTTCAGATACTTCTCATATTTCCGACACATACATTTCCTATTACCTTTTTCCTAAGCCTTTGTGGCAGATAAAAAAGAACACTTGTTCAGATGCAGAAAGTCACTTGTCGAGTAGTGATCCTAGTTTCGAATGTCACCAAGTTAAATCTGAAGTTCCCCAGACCCAAGTAACTGTCAAATCAGTCAAATTTCGCTTTTCCCAATAAACTACTTTCTAATTTTCTCTCACATGAAATCCTAAAAATAGAATGCAAAATGCATAGACGGCACTACGCGGCTCTATCTTTCGCCTTTACTCTCTTCCAACCTCCATTCTTTTGAGCAATCAAATTTTGAGCCTCAAATGCTCAGTCTCTTTCCTTGCTCTGTCCCTTACTACCTTCCTAACGTCGTTCTCAGCGTCAGGTGACAGAACTGACTTTTGTGTTTGTCCTGCCAAACACGACGGCCTGTAAGCATCTGTGGAAAAGTGCTCTGGAACATCACACCTTCTTCCGGTTGGCCGACAAGCCAAAGCCGCCCACCATACTACAGCGCCTCTTCCGTCTCCGCTCGCGATTCTACTCCACCTTCCGCACCGAGTACCAGTTGCACACTGGAAACACTTTCGGTAGTCATGGCTTCCGTCGACGAAACACATCAACCGGTCTGTCGGGCAAAGGCAGCGCAGCCGGCTTTAAACCGCCCACGGTGTCAACGGTGACAGACAAACCGGAAAATGTTGCAGTTTCAGGACGCACAACTAACGAACCTGTTGCTGCCGCAACTCTCAGTCGTTCGGTCTCAAGTTTCCAACGGGTACCGAGCAAACGATACGCTTCACGCACCGGAGCCTCTATGCGT